CGTACGCTTCTCGTCATCTCAAAGATTCAAGCACAGTGCTCCACTCTGTGAAGGAAGACATTGTCCCAACAACACACACACACACACACACACACACACACACACACACACACACACACACACACACACACACACACACACACACACACACACGAAAGCATAGTATGTGCACACACCTGAACGTCCACTGCTCTCAACCCCACCAGTAACATAGAGGAGAATATGGTCAGTAATGTTTGTTATGGTCGAATGAAATATACTTCTGAAGTGCCTGTGATTCTGCCCATGACCCCTGACCCCTGACCCTAATGAGGCAAAAGGAAAGAGGCTTTCCGCATAGAGGTCAAGGGATGAGGTATTATATTACAGAGTTTGACTGTATCAGCTTCTTTTCATCCAGTTTGAATGCCAGCGTCTGCATTTCCCTCAAGTCTTTAAATACATTGTTAGGAAGAAACAGAAGAAGAAAGAGAAAGTTAGTATGAGTTGTGTCCTGGAAAATGAACCAAAAAAGTGCAAAAAACATTCACATTAGTTTATTTAAGTCTATATATGTGTATGCAGATCGATAAGTGTGAGGTTTGCTGAACAGGATATCTGATCGTCATAACAACGAGAGAGAGAGATAATGGCAAAGAGGGCAGTTGTCATATTTGGTTGAGAGTGTGTTTGTGTTTGGCAGCTCAATATCCTGTTTTCTGCACAGTCAAATAAAAGCCAACAGTAGAAGCGAAACATCGACTGGAAAGAAAGGAAAAGAGCGACCAGCTTACTGTCCGACCCAGTGGACCAGAACTGAAGAACGGTGTGTGCGTCTGCCCTCGTTGTGGCTTTTCTTTCGGAAAAACACTTTTCACCCAGAACATTAGCCTTTGGTGGATCGACAGAGCCAGCCAGTTTCCATACAAGCCAGTGTTAGGCTAGGAAACTAAGAGGAAGGACACTGCTTTTCCACTATGGGGCCAAACAGGACTCACACAGCATCCAAGTGTCTGACAAACAACTTCAAGCAAATGTATTTATTCAATTTTATCACTGTTTCCGCCTGATTAAAGCTTCAGTCTTGATTAACACGTTTTCTTTCTGCACTCAATTTCAACGCCTATGTGACAGAAAAAAATACTTCTCCTCTCTTATCAAGGAAAGGACAATAGCAGGAGTTACAAAAAGCAAATGTCACACACTAATGTTTTGGGAAACTGAAATATTTCTTTGGAACTGTTTACAGATTCAAGTCCAATCTCATTCACAGTAGTCATCAATATGGCTTGCATTTAAACCATGGAGTCTTCTTGAAACATTGGCAGAAAGAACACAGGGATTTTGACATTATTCAGATTCAATCAAATCAACCTTTTATTGTTGGATCGTATCCGAGGACTATTTTCTTCTGAGGTGACATTTGTCCTTACTTACTCTCTGATAATCCTAATATATGCTTATTAAGGACCCTTAGTCTAGCTTGCCAAGCAATACGAACTGACAAAACACACTGATATGTCGAAAAACTTATCCACTCCTATCAAGGAAATGACAATATCAATATCACACACCCCAAACTCCTGAGGCTTCTTTAGCTAATCTGCAACCAGCATGAACCGAAATATATACTTTTTGGATCCGTTTCCAGATTCAAGTCCATCAATATTGCTTGCATTTAAACCATGGAGTGCAGAAAAGAAACACTGGCATTTAACAGGATTCAGAGTTGATGCTTAAGGATAATTACATTAGCTTTCCAAGCAAAACACACTTTAAAGGTAGGGTATGCAAGTTTGAGAAACCGGCTCGAGATCGCTAGAATTTGAAAATACACGACCGGAGAAAATCTGCCACTTCCTTCCAGAGCCCCTCCTCCAACACACAGGAACGCGCACATGACCAATGAGGGCACGAGATAAGTTTGTGCACAGATGGAAGGCTGACAGGCAGGTAGGCCATCCAGTTATTTTAGCCGGCTCAGATGATTGGTCGTGCTTTTTACAGCGCTACGGCTTCCACAGATTTGTTGTCAAAGCACTTCAGATATTCATTGCTATCGGGATGTTAAGAGCATTCCATGGAATATAACAACAAGTGTATCTCGAGCCGGTTTCTCAAACTTACCTACCCTACCTTTAAAGGTGAAGTAGTAAACAGTAACAGTAAGCCCCACATGACCTGCAGTGGAAAAATGTCGCTCTAAACTGAAACAACACGGAGAATCCAAGTTGGGCGCACTCATGCAAATACAGCATGTTGACAGTGGCAGCCAGCGCTTTATTTTCACCCTCCTGACATAAATCACTATTTCTCTTCTGTTCCTCCGCTGCACAAACTCTCCACACTTTCCTTCCCCCCCTTGTTTTTCTTTTTCTGGAACCGTCCCCCTATCCCTAAATTTAGGAAAAGGAGAAACACAGGCGGGGAAAACAGAGGGGGGGAGATTGGAAAGGAATTAAAAAAAAGGACATGTGGTGGTATTTGAATTGCCATCTGCCTCAATTTAAGTGTCACGTTCAACCCGACATCCTCAACCTGTTTTATTTCAGACTGGTTTACATGGAGGCCGGTTTTCCTTTTCCTCTCTACTCTCGCACTGATAATCAGGGAGAAATAAAGGACAGCCATCAATGTAGTGGTGCTTTAAACAAGGGGTGTGTGTGTGTGTGTGTGTGTGTGTGTGTGTGTGTGTGTGTGTGTGTGTGTGTGAGAGAGAGTGTGTGTGTGTGTGTGTGTGTGTGTGTGTGTGTGTGTGTGTGTGTGTGTGTGTGTGTGTGTGTGTGTCATACTTGCCACCCCTCCCGATTTTCGCGGGACACTCCCGCATTTCTCCCGATTTCTGACAAAATCAGATTTACTCACGACTGTTTCCACTCGGACTTTAATACAGCTACACCATTGTTTGGTTTCCATGGTAGCGTGTCTCTTTAGCAGCGTGCGCAACTCAAAGTCTGAGAGGGTGAGGAAGATGAAAACTGAACAAGAATCGACAACTCCACCCTCTGATCACTCCTTTCCTGTAAAATACAGGTCCAGCCCACACATATGCTCCATGGTGCTACAGGCATTGCCCTTACAACTACAATAAGCATGCAAATGTTAAATCTACAGCTCCGGCGATCCACTAGCACCGGAGTCTGCACCTGCAGACAACTACTGTAGCGTCACCTTGGATACGAGTCCAAACAACTCACAGACACACAGGCCAGNTAAATACAATGTGTGTGTGTGTGTGTGTGTGTGTGTGTGTGATTTCATTGCCCTCTCCCGGTTTCCTCCCGGGGTCATATTTCTCCCGATTTCTGACAAAATCAGATTTACTCACGACTGATTCCACTCGGACTTCAAATACAGCTACACCATTGTTTCGTTTCCATGGTAGCGCGTCTCTTTAGTAGCGCGAGCAACTGAACGTCTGAGAGGGTGTTCAGCATGGTGAGGAAGATAGTCACAGAAATCAGAACAAGAACCGACAACTCTAATCTGCTCACACCTTTCCTGTAAAATACAGGTCCAGCCCACACATATTCTCCATCAAGGAGCTACAGGCAGCAAGGCAGTGCACTTACAACTACAATAAGCATGTTAATGTTAATCTAACAGCTCCGGCGATCCACACCCACCCCCCCCGCGGTGGTTTTGAAATGCTCCCGTTTTCTGAGGTCTCAAGGTTGGCAAGTATGGTGTGTGTGTGTGTGTTGTGCTTCTGCTCATCACCAGTAGAGGGCACTGCCATTTCTAGCTGAGCTGTCTACCCCCTCTTTACTCAGTATAACCAGTCACTAAAGTCACGTTTAAATACAAACATATACATGACTAGTGAATTGTCGTGAAGTGTAAATATAGTATTATATGTAGAGTTGAACATGCAGCAACATTTAAACTGTGTTAGTGTTCATTTGCAATAAAAAAGCCTGCAGTTCAGCGGATGTTTTGTTTTCATTTTGGACGTAATAGTCCGATATTGGCGAGAAAACACAGAAGTAATGATGTTTGATGAATGCAAAGTCAACGTATTGGTGTAATGCAATGATACATAGCTATTAAAGTTACTTTGATATACTTTAATGGAGCACCTGAGGTAGTTTTGCGTTACTTTTCTGCATTAAATAAATGTTTGTGGATGTTAAAGAACACAAGGTGTAGTTCTGTTAACATGCCTTTAGATCAATGGCACGCTGAATGAATGTGAATGAGTGCATTTGGTGACCTTTTCATCTTAAACTCGCAGACAAAGCAAATCCTTTCCGATTCGAGGTGATGATCGAGACGGACGTATGGACTGCTTGTTTGACTAAGAGAAAGGAATAAAACGTATTTAAAAAAGGAAGAAGGGGCAGGGAGAGACGGGAAGAGGTGGGAGTAAAGAGAGAAGGAGAGAGAGAGAAGAATAAAGGAGTCTTTACATGTCTGTGGAACCAGCAGCTCGCAGCACTTTCACATAATTTAAGACATATGGACGTTATTAGGACGACCGTGTCTGTGTGTGTGTGTGTGTGTGTGTGTGTGTGTGTGTGTGTGTGTGTGTGTGTGTGTGTGTGTGTGTGTGTGTGTGTGTGTGTGTGTGAGAGAGAGTCTGGGTGTGTGTGTTTGCGCTGCAGGCTTCAGAAGACAGTCACGTTTTTGTGGTGCAGCAAAATGACCCAACAACCCTGTCCCAGAGTGACACGGCATATAAAAACATGTAGATAGATACCATAGTGTGTGTGTGTGTGTGTGTGTGTGTGTGTGTGTGTGTGTGTGTGTGTGTGTGTGTGTGTGTGTGTGTGAGTGTGTGCTAGTCTGACCTGTAGTTACCTTTCAGTCTTGGCGTCCCTTCACACACACACGGCGACTGACTGACTCACAGTAGCTCTGCGGCTATTTATGAATGTGTGTGTGTGTGTGTGTGTGTGTGTGTGTGTGTGTGTGTGTGTGTGTGTGTGTGTGTGTGTGTGTGTGTGTGTGTGTGTGTAGGAATAGGCAAAGCACTCGCTCAAATTGACCAATTATGCATAATCCAGTGCAGACGGGTTAAATGGCTAAATTCACTACGTTACACAACCTCTCTTTTGGCTTAGCCGATATTCCCCTGATCTTTCTGTATTATGTTCGTCTAGCCCTCAGGCGAGTGATCAACAAACAGCTGGCTCAGGAACAGATACATAGCTGAGTCATGGCTTCAAACCCCGTTAACGTGAACAGGCAATTGATTGGAAACTAATTCAAATATGAAATGACGGATTAACCAGCCAATTCTGTGAAGAAACCTCCAAAAATAAATGATTTCATAGCCCACTAAATCTCAAACAGCGCACCGAAACTGACCGCGTAACCATAGAAAGAGGTGACTGATGGACTATATAATCAGTTCAATGGCTCGTAAGAAATGACTCGATGCAACCAACCTAATGGTTGACTAAGCAACCAACAAAGTGACAAACAAATATGACCCAAGTAGACGTCCTTTTTTCGAGCCAATCCACCAAATATGAAACTTGGTATTACCGTGTGACCATAGTTAGCGTCATGGGACAATCAATGTCATTTTTTTAAATACTAAAAGCCTCCAAATGCCTCCAAGTTTCATCCAATTCCAAAACAGGGGTGTCCAAAAGCCTAACCCTAGTTCTTATCCAATGGATGACCCCATGGTGACAAGTCAATCATATGTTGGCATTTATTCAGCACAAACGAAGAAGGGACAGCCTTGTGTTTGTTTCCGCAGCCTTGAGGTCAGATAGTGTGTGTAATCCCCTGTGGTCGAGGGGTGGAGAGCAGGTCATGTAAGCTGATCTGGGACCAGCAGCCCCAGGGTGTGGCAGCAGAGGAAATGTAGTGCTGCTAACGTCTTAGAGCGCTCTGTGATCTGCACTAACCACTCCCTAACACACAGCATATATACACCCAATACAATGTAATGCACACACACACACACACACACACACACACACACACACACACACACACACACACACACACACACACACACACAGCACCAGCTCAGTGGACTATTGTTCATTCATTCTGAGGGCGACGGAGGGAGGGAAGCAGGGTTTGAAGGGATGATGGGAGAGAGAGAGAGAGATGTAAAAAGGGCGAGAGGAGAAGTTGGAATAAGAGGAAAATGAGGTGGAGAACAAAATAAAAGTACGAGCGCCCAACTGATGGTTTAGTGGCTGAAGCATCGACCTCAGGAACCACATGTTGGGCTCAAATCCTTCTAGAAGCTCCTTTATTTCCTCTGAGACTCCATTATGTCTCTGTGAACACAAGCAAGAACACTTTGTCTTGCCATTTCAATGGATTACCTTATTGAGAACATATTGCAGATAAGTAATAAAGTGTGTTCCTTCTGCATGGTTAGGGTTATAGTACCGGTTCTTCTAAAAGGTTAATTCGTAGTTTATCTGCATGTTTCATAAAAGCCATAAAAAAAGAACCCATAAAACAAATTGAGAAAAACCGCAGACGGGAAGCAATTATGAGTTTGGACAATGTGAGGGAGATCGTTAAATAAACAAAAACGTTAAAAGTAATCGGACGAATAATTCGTCCGATTACTTTTAACGTTTTTGTTTATTTAACGATCTCCCTCACATTGTCCAAACTCATAATTGCTTCCCGTCTGCGGTTTTTCTCAATTTGT